AGTGCTGTTTGTTGTTCTAATAACATTAATTTTAATATATTATGATTTTAATAGATTTTAATTATTTTTATACTTTCCTGCGTTTCTCGCGAACTATTTCACGCGACTTTTCACGGAATTATTAGTTTGTAAAATTTTGCAAAAAGCAACTTAAAATTTTTTGAAATATTTTATTTCTTTCTGGTTTCTCTTACCACATCCTTCTTAACCTAATTCACAGGAAACATCTGCGTAACGAATAATATTAACCCTTTGCACTCGAGTGGTGACTCCGAGGCACCATTAAAATTCATGATGTCACGTTCTAAAATAATTTTTACAATAGCAACGTTTAAATTTGAAAAGATTGTTAAGAGCGTAACCGTTGTGCGAGTCACAAGAGTCAATTTCACATGCATAAAATGCACTTTGTCATGTAAAATAAAAATACTATATATATAAGTGAGAAAAATTATTTTAGATTTACAATTGAAATAGCGTCGAGTGCAAATGGTTAATACTTTAATAATAGCAACATTTCTGAATCCGCACAAATTACTGCGTTTTATCTGAGTTAAATTTATTCTATTTTATTCAATTGTATTATATTCTCTTGTTTTATTTTTCGTCTGTCTTATCTCATTTAATCTTATTCTATTGGAAGCGAGAGAGAGATGTATACGGAGATGGGCCACTTGCAATCCGTAACGAAATTGTTGAAATTTTAGCCTCGAACAAAAATTAATCTATAGTTTACATAGTACTAAGATACTAAGATATCGGTTTACATTTTCGTCGGTTCCGTCAGCGGGCAACGACGGTGATGTAAACTATATGTAGTAGATACCGCGATACATCATCACCGGTACCATTAGATATACATCGTACCCTGACTGTTTGGGGGTCCCAGCGTCACGTATACAATGTGAAACGCGACAAATAAAACGTCTCTGATTGGTGGACAAGACGAACCCAAAAAGGGTATAAAAGAAGCGTTTTTTCTTTCCGGACTCTCAGTAGAGTTTGGTCGCTCGATCGTTTTCGCCCATATACCTTCTCTCAATAAAGGAATAAAATAAAGTCTTTTTAAGAAAAGAATTAGAATCATATTCATTTCCATTCCATAATCCCAATAGAAATCAACAAAGTTCATTATTACTTTGCTCTGTAATTTCACTATAAAATCTATGCGTTTCGTACTCGGTGACCAAATACCATCGTATTACGTAGAACAGTGATGTGGATAACGATCGTCGCTTTCAAACAAAGTACAATTAGCCCGCTTAAATTCGTGCAGACGTTACGCGATCGTTTCTAAATCGTAGATTTCGGTCGGAACGAAAAGGAGGTTCCGTTGGGCCGACGTTTCCGGGCATTAGCAGCAGGCCATCAAGAGTTTCTTCATGGTATCGGTTGCCGGTTTCGCGTGTCGCAAAAACGACCGAAGAAAAACGCGATCGCACTTCGGCCCGAGCGGCGGCGGCGGAACAAAAGGAGCCGGTGTAGTTAATTAACAACGCGCTGTCGCGGGTTATTTGTTCCGCGAAAAACAGTAAAAGCTGGCATGTCGCGTCGCTAATAAAATACCAAACGATAATTGAACCATCGGGAGGGGCCCGAAGAATAAAAAGAACAGGTTAGCCGGCGCGGCGCGGCGGTTCGTTTGAACGCAATGAATTCTTTTGTTTCAAGCTAGCCGTAGATCGCGCGACGAAATAAATCCCGCATTCGGCCGGCAACATTTATTGAGCCGGTCACGCGGGAAAATCCGGCGAAATCTTTTTATCGGGGCCGCTTTTGTCCCGTAGGTAAAGTGCCCCGTGCGCGCGCGCGCCTAGGCCCGCGTTTAATCGTGTAATCGTGCGTTCCATGCCCGACCCGGGACAACCGAAAATGCACAGGCAGCACGGCAAGCCGCGTGAAATATGACCGATAATACGGCCGCGCAATCGACCAATTCAATCGGTAATTTCGAAAATGTTTTTTCACCGCGCGCCGCACTGATTTACGCTGTTTTTGTTGTTTGGCCCGGCTGCTCCGCCGTGTTACATTAATGCATGACTTGTTTTTTTCGTTGTTCGAGGGAGCATTCTGGCCTAGAATGCGATTTTACGGCCCTTTCGGAATCGTTTGTTTCAAACGAAGCCGTAAGACTTATCGTACGCGGATTTTGGCGCGCCAACGAAAATAATAAAAATCGCACGCGCTGCATTTGGTTAAGCGAAAGTATTTTAGGGGAAAAAATGACGTGCTGGTGATACCTTGTTTAGTGTGAGTGTGACTATTTGTGCGAGCTACCACTGAAGAATTCGAAATAATTTCGAAAATGACGGCACTTCGATATTTAAATATTGATTTTTCCGATTATTTTTCCGTTTATGATATTTTTGAAAGAGAAAAAACATTCTTTAGAAACGCGCGATGGTTCGTGCGACAGCGGATTTTTTGAACGCAAGTATACGTGTTGAACGTTTTATTTTCGAGTAAAATATTCTATTTTCGCAATGAGTAATCTCTCAGCCGACGAAGACAACATTTCTCTGCTTTCGATTTGATCGGCGGCCTGAACGGAAACGTCTTTAAAATGCACGAGATTCGAGCCGTTGTAACTTCGTCGCGAAGGTATCGACCGGCAATATGCCGAGGTTATTTTTCAAGCGACAAATCTCTGGGTTCACTTACCCGCGTTGCATTTTGCCAACGATATTTTTATACTCCGGAAAGCACTGTAACTTCTCACGGTGTGCCTTATTTTAGCGCGAGTGGCACACTTTTCGTTCGGAGTGCAATAAAATGGCAGTAAAAAATCATGCGTCAAATTTTATGGGCTCGTAGCAAAGGGGAAAGTTCAATCTACGAAACCATGGCGGTTTGAGCCGGGAGAAAAATTCTCTGTGCGTTACGCGGAGGCTGCACCCGTGGCGCATGTAGTGAGAGAAACACTTAGGGGAGTGAATAAATTAGGATGAAGTAAAAGCTTTACCTTTTTAGACGCGGTAACTTGCTGTTAGACGCTTCTTCTGGAAGTTATAGCAGATGGCCTGAAATATAAATCGTACATTGAGAATGTAAATGGCAAATTAAAAGTAGAAATCGTACATTGAATATGCAAATGGTAAATTGCAAATATATATATAAATCGTACATTGAAAATGTAAATATATATATATAAATTGTACATTGTATATGTAAATGGCAAATTAAAAATACAAATCGTAGATTAAA